CCTGTGTGGAGAGGTAGGGCTTAAAATAGAAGTCCATTAGGACATGACTCTCTCTCTCTCTCTCTCTCTGTGTGTGTGTGTGTGTGTGTGTGTGTGTGTGTGTGTGTGTGTGTGTGTGTGTATGGGTTGTTCATTAGCTTGGGGAAGTAAACCTAGCAGGTCTTGACACACCTACCATACAGCCAAAGACCTTTATTCACATAGATGACTCACTATCAGTTCCTGCTGGATACACCCTTCCTTACAGCCTAGCCAAACTGACACAAATCTCAGAACCTGCTAGGAATATCACCCTATATTGAAAAGACCCACCTATGACTAGAGCATCATGTCCTTCTCAGTATCACCTCCCCAAAAGCAAAGCTTCAAATATGCTGGCCAGGTGTCACATCAGGCTAGGTACCCTAAACTCTACAGCCAATGTTACAGGTATGCAAAGAGATGGAGTTAGGTCATCCTGAATTCCCCCAGACTTATAATCAAAGACTCTATCTCTGTCTCTTTCTGTCTCTCTCATACACACAAAACTATGTATCTGTTACTTCTAGACATTTCCTCCCTGCAGGAAAGTCCCACATACACACACAGGGCTAGGTTTCTACTCCTGCTAGATACAATCTCCCTGGGAAGATCACAGAAGAACCTCTAACAGGACATGGTATCTTGCTGAGTAAGAGGAATATACATACAGCCAAAGCTAGACACAAAAAGCTAGGTGTCAGTTCTTTTGGTATCCATTCCCCTCTGTGCATCTCTATGTTTTATACTCACTTCAGAAGTTTGGGAGCCAGAAACAGCTGATGGAGATGACCTCTGGCATTGTCTTTCTAGATCTGTGTTCTCTCACTCTATCTTTTCCACATTCGTCCATTTACACAGAAGAATGGCTTAAACAAAGAGGATTATTTGCTGAGTGTCTGAAACTAGTTCTGTGATTTTGCAGTTGCATGTAGTTTCCAGGACTCATTTCTTTATTATTACCTAATGTGGGAGATCAGGCCCAATGTGGGTGCCTCCACCCCTGTATATTGGTCAGGAATTATGTAAGAAAGGAAACTGAATTAGCTATGAAGAACAAGTCAGGAAAGAACTGTTCTCTGAATCTGCTAGAGTTCCTCGAAAACTTCCCTAATGATGGACATTGAACAGGGCATGGGGGCCAAATAAACTCTTCCTACCACATTGGGTTATGTCAGGACCTGTCTATCAACAATACAAAGTGTACTAAGACAGTATCCCAGGACTGGCCTCAATTTGTAATCCTCCAAACTTCACCTACTGACCGCTGGCTTTAAGAATATAATATAAACATGTATGAACAAATAGAAGTTTTAAGGTTGACTAGATCTCAGGGAGAAAACAAATCAAGGACCAGTGCAATACAATTTCATCAGGTGAGGTTATTTTACTGAAGTTAATCATCGAATACATCTCAAGTAGACAGATGGAGAAATACTGCTGAATGAGAATGGACACACAAATAGTGCCTGATGGTATATACAGAGACAGGGGAGGAATCTTAGTTTATTTTTTAATATGTTAAGTACCAAACAGAGTATAAATAGAAGAGTGGAATCCTATGACTTGAGGTAGTTAATCATGGGGCATGTAATTAATAACAGTGATTGCTGAAACCTCAGTTTAGGAGGCTGGCAGAGCTGTGAAAACATCATGGTTTGTTCATGCTTTGGATCCAATGTTGGTGATTATACCCACTGCACTCTGTGGAACATGGCTCATGAGGTCAGAATACATGTTAGCATACTGTGACGAGCACACACAACCATTGTAATACACATAACCTGGCTCATGAGATCAGAGCATGTGGGATATTCTGAATCCTGACCCAGCAGACATCTCATTTCAATTCCTGCATTCTGGTTTAGGAGGTCAGAAGGGATTGCCCTCCTAGGTCATCCAGCATCAGGAAGTTATCCCATCGACAAACCAGCACTGTGTGTCTCCACACCTGAGTTCAAGCAGAACACAGATGAACCTAGCACAGCCACACTAGGAACACCAAGGATCAATACAAATACTCCCCAACAGAAAGCAAACAGATACATTCAAGCAACAAACTAAATCCAGATGAGCAAGTAGTAACATTAAAATCCAGGACAACATAACTACTCCCAAAATGACCAGTTCCAAAGTAGTAGCCAACAACAAGAGAGACTTAACCAAATTCAAGGCTGAGTAACATGGAAGGCCCAATGTCAGATGCATGGATCTCCTTGGGAAGGGGAAATAAAGGAATATCTCCAGGAGGCAGGTTAGGATGGGAGCATGAGGGTTTGGGCTGGGAGGTGCATGAAGGGGCATTCTACTGAGAGATGATTGGAAGCAGGGAGCATTTTAGGGTCAGGTAGAACATGATGCAAGGGAAAGTCCCCGAAATCTACAAGGATGATGCCAACTAAGACTTCTAGTAATAGTGGATGCACAGCTTGAACCAGCCATTTCTAGTGGTTAGTTGATGGCTACCTCAATTGTCATCGGGGAGCCTTCATTCAGTAACTGATGGAAATACATGCAGAGATTCAAAGCAAAACATTAGATTTCTTTTGGGTGCAGGGAATCCTGCTGAAGAAAAGGAATAAAGATTATAGGAGTCAGAAGGGTCAAGAATACCACAAAAATCAGAAACAAGTAACCTGGGTCATTGGAACTCACAGAGTCTGAACCAACAACCACGGAGCCTACATAGAAATGAACAATGCCTTTTACATATAAGTGACAGATGTGTAGCATGGTCTACTTGTGTGACTCCTAACAATGGTAGTGGGGCTGTTCCTTGGGCTTTGGCTGGCTCTTGGGAACCTATTTGTGAGTCCCTGCTGTGCACCACTCTGCTTCCTAACACATACTGCTCAGTATAATCCCGATTGGGCAAGTCCGGACTTCCAGAACGGTAGAGAACACGGGAATAAGAGGAGGTATATAGATGGACAAAAAAACCGTGGCTATTAATCTGGGGATATATTGGTGTCATTGGGCAGATACTGTTGTGGGATGTGGGATGTGAGTACTTTTGAAGATCTGGCAGATCCAGTGCTGGGTGGTGATTAGGATAACCCACATGGCAGGGACCAGGTCAAGGAAGGACTGATGCTCCATTAGTGGAAGCAAACTGCCCATGAGTAATGTCCCCGATAGGTAAGGCTTGTTATTATGCATGCCTTTCCTGACCTCACCCAGCAGTTTACTCCCAGCTTGCCCATTGCTGGGCCCCCAGGAATGTTAAACCACTCTGAGAGCAGTGGGCTATGGAAACCACCTGGTGAGACTTAAGGAGGACAGCTCCACAGTGATGCAAACCCCAGTAAAGCAATGTGGAATGCCATGACCATTGACATTCAGCTGTGTCTTGACCACAGAATACCTCGCATTCTCCCTTGGTTTTAAATCATACTGTGTAGCCATTCAGTGTCATATTAATGACCAAGATCTCATATAGAAAATAGTTCCCAAATGATGCTGATCCTCCATGGATTGTAAGAATGAAGTTAAAGACCAAGGCCAAAGAGCAAGTGGCATGACACTA